TGTCCAAAATGCATTATAGGCAGTTGTAAGGCAATTTATTTGTATTTTCTGAATTCACACATAAGGAATATCAGAAGAACCCTTAATTGTTATTTTTTCGTGCATATATAAGGTTTTTATGGCCGTTTGCAACGTGAATAACGAACCGCAAACTAACTTTACAGATGTTATACACGACAGCTTTTACAGTGCATTAGCGGAAGCCCAGTTTCCGAACTTGCGTTGGTACAAACAGAGGATGCTCATCTTATTTGTCTCCACCTACATGTGCAGACACTATTTCTATGATGAACTACACCAAGTCCTGCTACAGATCGCAGCTAACAGATAAGCATCTATCGTCTGTGTTGCTCATCTCAATGTCCAACATGACATCATACTTTGATGGTCTTCCAAGGAGAAGCGACTGCCCCAATTGTTCACATTATGCTAAACTAAATGCTTTTCTTGTCCATGTCGGTCATCTCACACAGTTAGTAAAGTTATCTCATTCAGTTATAAAAGTAAGTCTCAAACAGATCCACAGTTCGTTGTGCCTCCATTATGTTATAGGTGTGTTACTGTCAGATGAATTTTGCTCTTTTTGTTTTGTCAGTCTTGTTTGTCACTTTTGGCGGCCACCTGACTAAAGTAGGTCAGTGTTGATGCTTGTAAATCAGATTTCATTATATTTTGTTGAATAGTGTAACTGAAATTTTGGAGTGAGGTTTTGCTGTTGGTATCCTAGGGGACCTGCCTCTATTGCATCTTCCTTCAAACAAAAAAAAGTTACTCTTTTTCAGTAACTAGATTTTGTAATGTGAAACTACATGCTTAAGCATTAGGTTTCTTTAACTGAAATTTCCATGTTTTGTTATACAATTGTAAAATACTGCATGTTCGTTTACATACAGTAATGTGTTTAAGTGTCTTTTCTCATTCAGTGATGCAGCTCTGTACTGCAATGGTAAATTAAAGTTTGATCATTGTAAACTAGTGTGCCTCAGATCTATGTTTGTAACAATGCATTGTATTTCATTAGCATTTTTATCATTTTATGAAATAAAAATGTATAGCAGTGTTAAAAAGTTAGACAACTGACGAGATGCAGGTTAATGTAAAAGCCTGCACTGCATTTCATGTGGTTTATCACAGTAAGTCTATTTTTTTTTTTATCTTTATTTTTTTTATACTGTAATAATTTATTTGTATGGTGTACAGCATCAATTTGTCTTGGATGTGACAGATACAAGCCCTGCACAGTGGCCAGGGGGATTTTGAGGCATTCCTCTTGCTGAACAGTGGCCAGGTCACTACGTGATGCTGGTGGAGGAAAATGTTTCCTGACTCACTCCTCCAAAGCAACTAACCCCAAAGTGGCTCAGTAATATTCAGATCTGGTGACTGCACAGGCCATGGAAGATGTTCAACTTCACTTTCATGTTCATAAAACCACTCTGTCTTGCTGTGTGTATTGGTGCTATATCATTCTGATGAATGGAGCCACCTTCAGGGTACAAAGTTTGAACCTCTCGGTGAATGTGGTCCTCCAGAATGGTTCAACAGTCCTTGGCAGGGATGAGCCCATCTAGAACAAGTAGTGGGTCTAGCAAATGTCACGATATTGCAGCTCAGACTATCTGATACATTCTGGGTACACAATAGTCTGGGTGGTAAGCCTCTTTCAGGTTTCTCCACACTGTAGCTGTCCCAGATGTAGAAAAAGATACTGAAGGTACACTCATCAGAGAACAAAACAAGCCCAAGATTTGCACTGCTGGCACTATTGAAACTGACATTTGGCTTTAGCACAAGTGACCAAAGGTTTGGCTATAGCAGCCCGGCCATGAATATTGACCATGTGGAGCTCCCAACCAACAGCTTTGGTGGGAACAGAGTCAAGGTGTGCATTTATTCTGCAGTAAGTTGAGCAGCTGTGGTGCTATGTTTTTTGGATACAATCTGGGTTAGTACCCAGAAATCTCTTTCAGACAGCTTCCTCCTGCGTCCACAGCTGCTCCTTTTAGATGTGGTCCATCCTTCGTGGTGGCATGCTGACATTATCCTGGATACTGTGCAGGGCTGGGTAACTCAGGTCCAGAGAGCAAAAGTCCAGACCAAGATCCCGCCCCAACCAACCAGCCGAGCAAAAAGAGTCACAGTGTACTCAACTCATTGGTTGAAAAAAAATCCCGGCCCGGACCCCCACTCTCCGGACCCGAACCACCCAACCCTGATACTGTGGCTCTCTATACACCACAGTAACTTGCTGTGCTGGTCACAGATGCACCAACGAGACGCATAACAACAGATCGTCCACTCTTGAACTCTGATATGTCTCCCATTATGTTGATTGAATTGCAATATTTTATTCACAGCTGTGCTATTTCTCTAATAAATCAACCTTCACACTTTGCTCATACTGATGGAACATGCGATCAATGAAGATTGGCCACCAGCCCACAGTATTTAGTACAAAACACTATTTTGGCAATTGTTTCAATTTCATTGTCCAACAATAATAATCTATAACCTAGCTAGCCTGATGCCTGACTACTTGTAGCTTGATCCTTTGTTTCATACAGCCCCAAAACTGTCTGCTTTATTTTTATATATTTTTTTATATTCCCTCCACCACCGCCCCTCTGCAGAGGACTGCTTTATTTCTATTTAAATATTTATTTATTTATTTTTATTTACTTCCTGAAGAGAAGAAGAGGGAGAGAGAGGAGGGGGAAAAGGAGAAGAAGGGGGATAGAGAGAGAGGGAGAGAGAAAAAAAAACAGATAATCTGCTTCAATGTCTGCTGAAGAGAGAAAACAACAACCAACATCTGTACGAATCACATCGAAAATCAAACGTTAAATGCAGCATACACAACCAGCATTACAACACATGCCCAGAAGCAACAGCCGATCAAGAAAACGTGCGTCCGTGAGCACCTGTCCGTACACCTGTGTGTGTCAGCGCGCTGGTGTTCATAAGGTTTCTCCATGTAAATGTCTAGTAGTGTGTGTGGGGAGCCACAGCCCCACCCCGCCAGGACATGAAGCTGACTTGGAGGAGACCTGGGCCCCAGACATCCAGAGGCCCCCCAGGGCACGGGAACCCCAGGAGGACCACCGCAGGGACAATTGCAGCCCCCACCCAGAAAAGGGCAGAGGAGCACTCCGGAGGGGGGCCATCCGGCAGGCACATCGCAGGAGCCCCCGGGGGCCGTGGCGGTGAGCCCGCAGGCCCCGCCGGCGGCGGGCCATACCAGGGCAGACCAGACCCCGGGCCCAGAGATCCAAGTCTATTTATAATAACCTAAAAGTACACCAGATTGACATTTCTAAAAAATGTCATGCCTTCCAGTAAGCTGGCCAACAGGCTATTATAAAGTAATCTGTCATATATCAAATTCACATTATAAACATAACAGCACAATGGGTTTCATGTTTAATTTCAGTCATCTAATGGTTGCCCCTCAGCTTACGTTATCCAAGTATGTATGGCCTTCTGGGGAAGAATGTTGCCCACCCCTAGATTAACCTGACAGGCTGCAGCTGGGTCTAGTATTCAGGGGAGGCGGAGCTGGAACAGCCTGGGTGTGGCAAAACACTTAGGGCCTGCATCTTCCAGCATGACAAATTTAAAACTCAGTTCCATTACAATAATCTTTATTTAAATATCCAAAAGCATTTTGAAATGTTAGCGATACATACAGTCGCTCCTCTGTTTATGATGGCTCGACTTAAAATATTGACTTTATGATAGGATAGCGATGAGCGTTCAGCAGTCAGCTATGAATTTCGCTCTGCTTCCCGGCTAGCGATACGCCGTACGATACATTCCACTGACATCGGGCGAAAGCAGTATCTGTGATGACCGTGCGCAGGGAGAACGAGCAGGGAGCGGAGAAGCAGGACCGAGCACACGGAAATCCAAAACCAGGGTTTATTGGTGGCACAACACGGCACAGTGAACACGTTAATGACAGTGTCACGGCACTGGGCTAAGAGTTTGGGGGAAACACCCCGTAAGACACCAACTACGCCACCCTGGGAAATAGTTCCTTAGCTAAATAAAACTCCAAAAAGGCACTGAGGTCCGTTATACATGGCAGCAAGAGATGTGACTCCACTTACAATCTTTTATTAGCAATCACAATAATAAAACACCATCCACACTACAAAGTAAAACCTCAGGGCTGGTGCACACAGGATAGGGAGGTAAAGCAGTCATAAGATGGCATCCTGGAACAAAAGCACTACAATTCCCATGCACACATACCAGTGCCCTGCTGCTGGGCACAACACAAAACGCCACCACATCAAAGTTCCCTTCCTCCCTAGTGGCGTACCAACCCAAAACAGTCTTACACAAAATAAAAACCCTCACCCTAGGCAATTAAGCCTGGAAGAACCAGTTAACAGGGAATTACAATCCACCAATCCCCACATTCACAATACAGCAAAAGAGGCAAAGCAGCAACAACTGTAGGGCAGGCAATCCAGACCGCAGCTGTAATAGAGCAGGCAGAACAGCAACACTTAATGGTGATTCATGATCTTCCCGACCAACCGGATAAACGTCTCCCTCCACATTGCCTGCAAAGAATGACGCCAGGCAAAACAAATTGATTAAAAACACATGATCACTGACAGATCGAACTTACGGG